GGATCCCCCCCTCCCACCCCAAATTACACTTGGAATATCATAAAACTAAAAAAAAGTGACATATCCTCTATGTCTAAGAATTTCATATTTAATTTGCATGGGCATATTTTGTATTATAGACTAGTGACTAATCCCATTAGGCAAATCCTATTAGGATAACAAAATAAAGAAGCTTGTGCTCAAAGAACACCATCCTTTTTGTCCTCTCTCTATTCTCTTTTTTTCAAATTTTATTTATTTCTTTTGTTAAAAAATAAATAAAAATTGATTCCTCCAAAGCAAAGAAGCAAAGCATCTATTCTTACACATCACCTGTAAGTATGCCAACTTTCCTTTGCTTACAATTAAGACCTTGCCTTCTTTTATTTCAAAACATTATATTAAAATTATTTTTTCTACATATCTTTCTGTGCAAATGCATGCTGAAAGTTTGGAATCTCTGTTTACTTTCACATATCAAATGTATATAGTGTCAATATCATACTACAACAGTTTCATTATATATAATCTTTAATCAAATTTGGGATTTTTTGGGATTTCAATTCTTTGTATGTTTCAAATTCTTTTGAACAAAAAGAAGAACATTCTTTAGTGTTGTGTTTTTTCTGGACCCTTTGGGGAATTTTGTTGTGATACAATGAGTTTTCTAACAGGAGCACCGAAAAATTCATGGCAACCAGCTATGACAGTTGATACAACAACATCAAATTACTGGTTGAATTGGAGGGTTACATTGTGTTCCATTTGGATTTTTGCTTCAATGGTTTTTGCATCTATTCTCATAACAAAGTATGAAGGACCTCACGGTTCGAGAAATAGGAGGAGAGAAGAGGAGAAAGACTCTCCTGGACTTTTGTATGAAGATGAAGTTTGGAAACCATGTCTTAAAACTATACATCCTGGTTGGCTTCTTGGATATAGAGTCGTCGCGTTTTTAATCCTCTTGTTATTGTTAATCATGAATGTTGTTGTTGATGGAGGGGAACTCTTTTACTATTATACACAGTAAGTATGTTTATACAAATGATTATGATTTATGAATCTTGAAAATGTTCTTATGTATTGTATTGGCTACTGAAACAGGTGGACATTCACATTGATCACAATTTATTTTGGGGTAAGTAATAGCACCAACATTGAAGTTGAAGTCAATTTTTCTTTTTTTTTTTGTTCTGTATTTTTTACTCGCGATTTCTTGTTATATGAATTTAGCTTGGATCTGTGCTCTCAATGTATGGATGTTATCAGTATCACAATAAAGTTGATAATGAGAGGCAAGATATTGAGTATAGTTCGCGAAGATTGTCTATGAATGTAGAAAGTAGCACTAGTTCAAATGCTGCAAAACAGGCAATGGGAAATGCAGAACAGAGTTCTCGCCAAATTGCTGATTTCTGGGGATATGTTTTTCAGATAATTTTCCAGGTAAAATCGACGAGTAATCAAAAAGATTCTGTTTTATCCTATGACAACGAATGCACAAGTTTTGCATATTACTAACTTTTGTCTTCCTATTATGTTATGAAAGATGAATGCAGGAGCAGTAACGCTTACTGACTGCGTCTTCTGGTTCATACTTGTTCCATTTCTGACCATAAGGGGTTATAATTTAAACTTTGTAAGTATTCTACATGTACTATTATGACTTTACTGTTATAGTGGATAAAGTTCAGAGATGTTTCGTGTTTCTAATTGATGTTACATTTATGTTGTAGTGGATAATAAACATGCATTCGATCAATGTAGTGTTTCTACTTGGTGATACAGCTCTCAACTCTTTGGTAAGTTGAACCAACTTTTCTCATTTGGTCTCAAAAATCATCTTCATAAGTTGAGTAATTCTTATAATTTTCGATGAATTTCAGCGTTTCCCTTGGTTTCGAATTGGATATTTCTTTCTGTGGACAGCAGTTTATGTTGTTTTTCAATGGGCAGTCCATGCTTGTATGTCAATATGGTAAAAAACACTGTTCTTCCACCAGTTGTATTTAGTACATTTTAAGTTTTATCTGTTTGAAACAACTAATGAATACTGGTCTTATTTTGGAAACAGGTGGCCTTATCCATTTCTTGATCTGTCATCTTCATTTTCTCCTCTGTGGTATGCATTTTGTTTAATGTCTACTGCAAATTTTGATCTATAAGAAACTTATGATTCAAGAAAATGAGCCCCTCTTCTGATTGAAATTTCAGGTATTCATCGGTGGCGGTGATGCACATACCATGCTATGGCATTTTTGTTTTGGTCATGAAGCTCAAACACCATTTGTTAAAGAAATGGTTTCCTCACTCTTATCAGTGTGCAGGATGATGCTAAACAGGGATTTTTATGCCTTAAAGGCAGCTAACTGTCGAGGGAAAATGAGAAAAGATTACAATAAATAGCAGAAAAGGCAACATGAGTTCATTTTTTGAACAATACAACATTGGTATTTGGTCCTTGTTTCCCCAGAAAAGGAAAAAAGGGTAACAAGTAAAGGAAACACAATAGTATTACTTTACGTAGCAAAATAGCAGTAAATATACAAAAAGAGATTAGAGGGATAGAGTTTTGTGTTTGCAAGATATATATGTAGCCTAAATATGAAAAAAAAACCCAGATATCAATAGTTCGTACATATAATTTATTGTTCAATATATATATATATGCAACATGTTTACACTCTCATATCAAATACAATGAACATGCCGACAATGAGAAAGCTGTATAGATAGTGAATGGCTCATTCTTCTGATGAAGATCTCCACTTTTCTAGTGGGTAAGTGGCAATATGTTGGGAAACAAAAAGCATCTTCAGTCAAAACTGAACTGATTAAAGGTGTGGAATGTTACTAATATAACTTTTTCTATTTTATGAGAAACACCAAAAGAAAGCATCAGATAACTCTTTTTCATGCCCCACAAAAGTGAAATTAGTAAACCTCATAAATAAAGCAAGTTACAAGTATATTGATAAGTGTAAATACACACTTCCAGTGTAAAGTTAAATCCTTGCTCATTTCCTTGGTTTTACTCGTGTTATCACATATATGCAGACACCAACTACTCCAACGTCAAAGCCAAAACAAAAGGCATAGACAAAAGATAGAACAAATTCCTCACTGCATAGTGCATACAGTAAAGACCATCATAAGTAGGATAAGTTGCACTCTTCAAATTCATACAAACTAAAGTTATGTCGTGATGTGTTGGCAAAACCAAAGAATGCTGAGCTTCTTGAACTTCACAAAAAGTATAGTTATATCAGAAGTTTTGGCTGTTATAGAAGAAAATGATCACTGAGAGAAGAAAAAATCACCCTTGTTTCTGAAACATTATTACAAAAGAATACAAGTCAAATGAAGGAAAATACCAGAGGATCAAATAAGATGGAGAGACACATACAGAGAAAGAATAGGCAATTCTTACAGGTCTTAGCTAAAGCACAAGCTTCAATTCACACGATTTTCTTGCAACGCAAAATACAAGGATGAATATATGTACAGGTATTCAGAGGTTGGTCAGAGGCAATGAGCCCATTACAATAGCAGTATTCTTATCTTTAGGTCGCTGTTCTCCACCCTCGCTAGACTTCAGTGATCTTACCTAGAAAAAAGCCCCTTACTGAGGTCTGCCTTCTTTCCTGGCAAGGCCAAGGAGAGATTCCCCACACTGCTCTCACTCTGGTTTCCCCTACTTGTATTTCCCTCTAGCTCCGGTTTAAATTGAGTACCACAAGGGCAACTTGATGTCCTCCTAAAGCAATGCTTGTGAAAAACTGATTGACAAGACTTGCATCTTTCAATTTCTTCTTCCTGTTGAAGGACAAACTACATCTTTGAAGGTCTGGCATTTCTTATGCAAGTAAATATTGGAAGTGGACAATTACATCAGTTTAAGTCACAACATTTAGGTCAATAAAATTATTCACCTTTATTAAAAAAGGTCAAACTTTTAGAATTTGAGCTAAATTCTTTTGGAACATGCAGTGCAGAATGGTTGAAAAGTCTGATTAATTAACTTCAACTTCCCAAACAGTATGTTAATAAGAAACAAATATCAATAAATGAAACAAGATAAACCCTGCCAACCTGGAAAGGGAAAATGAGAGAAGAGGGGTCATCACAGGCTTGCCGAGCATTGCAGGGTATACCCACATCACAACATATAAGGCACTGCTCAGCTATATGCTCCAGAATTTTTCTTGATATAGTCTCGACCATAACTGGTAAAGCTGCATTTGAAGTCATATAGCATAGGACCAAAACAAGTCAGTTTTCTCAATAATGTTGCCACATGGAAAACAGGTCAGAACTATTAAAGAAACATCCTTTCCCTGATTTCTCCTAATTCTCTTTTCTATGTTCTGACAAGCAGGAAGTAACATTCATATATTCATTGGAAAGCAACAGTAAATGTAAATTAGAAGGCTCTGCTATGATTTAGAGGGAGAAAGGAGTCGGGACAAAATAAAGAAAAGGGTGCAGTTTAGGAACAATTCTATGGCAACTTGAGCGATTGGAGGCTAAGCTAGTTTATAACTGTAAAATATCAAATAAAATCAACCAAGAGCTACCAATAGTCCTCCCTCATAATCTTCAACAAAAATAAAATGGAAAAGAAATATAGAAGTAAAACAAATCACTAGCAAAGACAAGATCTTCTGGGACTTAAACAACAAAGCACAAGTGTCCAAGCATCATGAGTATAAATTTTCGTTTTGCAGGCTAACCTACAAAGACTCCCTTGGATAGATCTATGAGATCCCTAAGAGAAAAAAAGTCATTGCTTTCAAGAAGATATCTTCTAGATCCAACTCCCCTGTAGATGGATCTTTGGAAGGAGCAGCGAACAAATGGAAGCATAGTTCCTATCCTTTTTCTGATATTTGTGACATGCTGCAGAGCTGGGACCTTTGAGAACAGAAAAGGATTAACTGCACTGACACAAAGCATTGGCTGCAAGAGCAGAAGAATGAAACATAAGTCCTACAGTTATTTCATGTTCTCATAGTGAAAAGGAGCCAGAAGTAAGAATACAGGAGGCTGCAGCCCAGGGGGAGGCAAGAAACGTGAGCATTTCTACAGCTGGGGCTTAATGCCGATTCTCCCAATGACGGCAGCAGGTCATATGTATTACTAACCCTGTCAAAGCGTAGTTATTCATCTTTTCCGGTGCCATTCCATACCTTGACTATTCCACCGGGTACCTTGCTAGGATTAATCCCTAGTCTCCAGGACCTTTATCCCCACTTTCATTGACTACTTACACCCTTGGTTGCAACCTTTTGGATTGTCGAAAGATATTTGGTATGCAAGATGAGGAAACAAGACCAAGTGTCATTAAATTGCTTAATTATATATAGATATACAAAGATACATAATGCATGCCTGTTCAGTCAAAAAGAATGGCAAGAAACAGAGATTTAGTCAAATTTGGTTGGGAAATTTTCTCATTACCTGGTCATAGATAGAGTCCAGATAAGATTTAGCCATCTGAGAAACTGGGTATTGATTAAAGTCCCAAAGATGCAGAATCCTTGCAGGCAAGACAGCCATATCATTTGTATGGCATGAAGAGCAGTACAGCTGACCACTATATTCACAGAAACGAGGTTTTCCCCACCCCATAGTCTGCGCAAATTCCTGTATTCGAGTCTTCCCATCGTCAAAATTTTTGTAGCAACCAGCACAAAAATAATGTTGTTCATCTAGTAACTGTTTATTCGATTTATAAGGTCGTTTATTAACAATGAGGGAAATAGTCTTCCCCAAGCTGGAAACATTCCCTCTGATTCTGCTTCTTAAAGTAGACGGAGACTGAAGTGCATTTGTATCATAAGTTGGAGAATCTGGAAGATCCTTAGACAGAGATAAGAAACACACTACAACATTGAGGGCACCTATAGGAAACCTTGACTGGAGAAGGGAATTTAAACACTCTTGAATAAGAACACTTCGATCAGCAACAACTTTTGGAGAAGCACTTCTGAAAACCTTCCGTGACTCTTGTTCAACAGAGGACCAGACAGGAGGAAGAATCCTTCCTTGATCTGCGAATAACTTTTTCAACCGCCAATAGAGAGCAGAAAATTCACGATACCGTTTTTCAACCTCCCAATTATCTTTGCCACTCCACACTCTTATCCTGTATGCAGTATATTCTCTTACTCCAACTAATCTCTCACTAAGTGAAACATCCCCTATCTTCTGTATTGTATCAATGACCTCCACCCTGTCAAATTTCAGAGGGTTTTGGATTGCAGCATAAGCATCATCAGTACCAGAAGTAGAAGCAGTAGAACCACCATCTCTTGAAGGAAGTGGTATATATGATTGATAAATCTTGTTACCAAAACTGAATCCAACAGATTCACCAGATTCAAGCAATATCTCTTCCATATCATGAACAAGCTCATCATATAATTCATTTAACTCAAGATTCTGTGTCTGCAAAAAGAAAGAGAAAACACAAAGCATCAAAGGAAGGAGCCTTGTTGATATATTTCTTCTGTCGATCTGCATACCACATAAGCATAAGCCAAAGGACCCTGGCTGTCAAACAGAAGGACCATAAGCACAACAGCAGAAGTCACTGGAAAACATTGCTGATTGCACTCAGGAAAGAATCAGTATATGTTCCAAGAGGGACAATGCTCGTGAAAATAAGTGGACCCTCGAGGAGTTCTAACGTAAAGGCATTCCAATATTAATAGTACGTTAAAGTATCAAAAATTCTTTTTTCGATTCCACAGCATATGAATAAGCACTTTATCATTTATGACGCTGAAGTCTTCTTCTTTATCTAAATAAGCTTTTCTTTCAAGTAGCTACAATTTCACGAATCCGATCTTTATCAGTTCTTAATAAGCAATACTTAAGATCTAAGACATTCAACTCACGTGTTCCATTCAACAAGCAGACAGATCATTTTTCATACATTGAACAAGATTAACAAAAACATGTCGCAGTGTTTGCAGATTTGTATATGTAGGATTACAAGAACATTTATTTAGCTTCTGTATTTGGCTACATAAGCAAAGATCGGGTAATTATATACTATTCACCATTTTCTAGTCACTGGCAAAGTTGGAGGTTTAATTGATACACCTCCTGATAAATAAACTACTCAATACAATGTGTTAAATAAGCATAGATTTCAGATAGAGAAGTCAAATTGTTTAATCAAATAATTACTTCATGTGGTGAAAAAGAGAGGTTGTATGTAAAGGAGTCACTCTTAGAGAAACAAAATAACTTCCCATGCTTGCAAATTCACCCTTATGATTTCAGATTTATGGATTTCCAATGGAAGAACCTCAAGAAGTATTTTCACATTCCGTGGCATGCTTCAGCCAGCTCATCGCTGAAGATAAAATCAGGTAAAAGACCTTTACCTAGCAGATAGATATATGTAATGAGTACAAATCAATGTGAAGAGACTATGCTTAGTTACTGTAGTAATATAGGCCACCAATTAAATTTCACAGTTCAAGGAGCTAGGAGATCAGCAAAACCAAAACAAGCAAAAGATGCCAATTTTTATCTGTTTGACGGAAAACATGGTACATATTTGTAAACTTCACCAAGAATATCTAAAATATATAAGCTTGCGATATCCTTATATATATTTGTCAATACTTTACCTTAGATGGAAGATGATATTCAGAGCAACCAACTGAAAGGAGGTACTTTTAGCATTTGTATTATCATTAGTCACTGATGCTAATGATGTAGATGGACTTTGGCCTGCAGATAGTTCTAACTTTACATCTTTGGAAGGTTCTGTAGATGAATGATATTCGTTTTGATCAGGATGAGATAAAGGGTCCAATAGTAAGCTTCTGTATTTTAGCTCCACTACTCCGGAAACAAGATCATCATGGATATGAATTAATTTCTCATCATAGGCACCTTCACCGCCTTCAATTTTTAGATCCTCTTTGATTGGAACTTCATTTATTTGTATTTGAATTTGATTTAGAGCCCGTTTGGATTGACTTAAAAAAATTGCTTTTAAATTAAAAATACAAAATCAAACTGAAATGACTTTTAAATTAAAAAATAAAAAGTAGGGGAGACCTATTTTTGGTTTCTGATTTATTTTAAGTCATTTTTTATTTATTTTAAGTCATTTTTTAACCTGTCAAACACTTCGTAACTTATTTTTAGTCATTTTTGACTTATTTTAAGTTATTTTTTATATTTGTCAAACACTTTCAGAAGTCAAAAAACTGACTTAAAAAGTAGGTTTGATCAACTTTTAAGCCAATCCAAACGGGCTCTTAAAATGAAAACGAGCTATGTGGACGTCAAGTTAAAATATTTCAGACATTAATAAAAATGATTGAAAATTTTAATTGGCTTAGAAATCTGAATATGTTATGTTATTTATTTATACAAAGAAAAATAATGAAACTCTCTCCTTACATCCTCAATTGTTTATTTGAATAAAAAAATAAATTAAAAAAAATATTTGAATTTATTATGAGAAAAATTTACATTATAATAAGTAAAATCATAATGTGAATAAGACTATGAGATCATATAACTAAAATATTAAAAAGATATAATTAAAAAACCTAAAATTTTGATTATTAATTAAAGACTTAAGTCATCGCCGGCCCCTTAAAGTTGTCCGCATAATTCAGTTAGACACCTTATCTAAGTCTTGTTCCAATTGAACGCCATCATTAGTTAAAATATATACCTATTGTACATTTTCTGACAATCAACTAAAAATAGAGAGTGAGTGACATACACTCGAATGATGTGGCATAATAACCAATAAAAAAAAAGACATGTGGCATCATCCATAATAACAATTAAAAATATAAATTAGAAAGAAAAATAAAATAAAACTACATTTTTAGCCCAACAAAAAAAATAGAAGAGAAAAAGAACCTTTCTTCCCCATTTCTTCTTTGCCATAGCCCTCACCCAACCACATCGCCTCCATACACATAGAGTTGCCGCCGGCTAAATCCACAAACACTCAGATAATCATCGTAAATCCACTTTTTTTCTCACAATTTATACAAGGGATTTTTTCCCCACCCATACATCTGCCCCCTCTCCTTTATTCTAAAACCCATTAACATTGTTGAGCTTCTCCAAATCTCACCTCTTTTTTTTTTCAAACGTCAATTCAAATTCGTATATTTTTTTAATTCCTCTACGTTGTGAGTTCTTTAGGGTTTGAATTCTTTAACAATTTTAAGAAAACAATGTCAGATTTGTGTTAGTCTTGCCGGAAAAAATGGTGTTTCACCGAAATTATTTTTGACACAATTTGATTGTTTTTATTTTGATGAATTTCTCTTCTACAACTTCAAGATACTGACGATATTGAGAATGGCGAAATAATGCTAAAAAGAAAGAATTAAGGGGTATATGGGGAAGGGGTGTGGCAGGGGACGATGGCTTAGGAATTTGGCCGGTAAGAATTCTAGGCAATATGAAATTGAGAAGTTCAATTGGAGGAAGACGACTACCATGAATTTAACTAGCATATTCAGTTTCTCTTTTAAACAAAAAATGAAGGAAAAAATGCGGAATCAAAACGAAGTGTAAAAGATCTTCTAAATTGACCGAAGAAGACGAGTGCTCTGAAGAAGACGATTGTTAAAGTGGTATGGGGTGAGGTTGTTTTCCTTTTCCTTTTTTATTAAGAGATTATTGTTGAACTTAATTATTATTAATTTTAGTTATTTAGTTTATGTATTCAGGTTTCAAAAAATTACAAAATTAACTTTAAAAAAATTCAAAAAATAATATTGGGATCTATTCACGCGCTCAACGACAATGAATTACACTTATCTTGTCACATAAGCATTTTGTGTTTAATGAATATATATTTTGAACAATTTAAGTGTTCAATTGGTACAAGTCCTAGTTGAGGTGTGTAAGTGAATCATACAGACAACTTTAAGGGGTCACCTATGACTTAAGCCTTAATTAAATTAGAATAAAGATAATGTGATGATTTTTAGATTTTTTTTTTAAAAATTCTGGAAAAACAACAATATCCTTTCTAAATATAATAATTATAATTTTTTTATTAATATAAACCGTGCATCGTGCAGGGTACGCATAATAATAATAATAATAATAATATATATTATATCAATCTCCAAGTATGCTCCACGAAATTGTATTAAAAAATTATTTAAAATGGAGAATGTCCTAATAAAATTCATTGCAGTGTTGATAATAATAATTAAAACATACCATTTATATTAGCTCAACGTGATGTGTTCTTAATGTCACATCCCATCAAAACAACAACCATGTAATATAAATTGAAAAAGACGTGCACAATTTTTCACTTGTTTCCTCGTACTTTCCTTTTTCTACACGAGATAAAAATCCCACGATTAAACGATTACTTTTTTAGTATTCCTTTATGTTAAATACCTCATTACACTAAACATTTTCCCCAACAAATTACCAAAATCCCCTCTAATTATAGCTATGGTTCCAACTTCCAACTCCTCAAAGTGATCTACCTCTTAATGAGAATGACTCACATTAATGAAGCTAGTGCTCTAAACATTCCTTATTTACCCCAAAGAAATCAATTACTTCCAAGAAATACTAATATTCTTCGTCCGTCACAGTGCATAGGCAAGAAATACAGAGGCGTACGACGTCGTCCGTGGGGAAATACGTTGCGGTAATTAGTGATTCGGCTAGACATGGTGCGAGAGTATGACTAGGTACGTTTGAAACTGCTGAAGAAGAAGCTGCGTTAGCTTATGATAGGGCGGCTTTTAGAATGCGAGGTGCCAAGGCACTACTTAAGTTTGTGCTCAAATAGTTACACTACGAATAATAATTCAAATTCAAATTCAAGTTTAAACGAAGTTTCAAGTGGAACGAATGATGTATTTGAATCAAAAATTTCGAAGGAGCTTTCTCCAGATGTTAAAACACAGCTGTGCATGGAGAATTTCTTGGCGCTCTAAGCGATTAATCTGTTACCACGTAGGGCATATTATAATACGAATCAACTGAGCTACTGGAATTTCACTGTTGTACTTATACTATGTTCTTGTCTTTTCTCTTATTTTCTTTTGGATTGTTTGCAGCGATGCACGCTATAATCTTGTGTAAAAAGTTTTCTTAGGATACTTAGTAGTTAGTATGTTTATAAGTTGTAATATACACATTCTATTTTCTATTTTTTTTTCCCTCTCAAAATGCAAATCAAGATATATTACTTATGATAAACAGTATAAGGAAAAAGTTTTCTATTTGATTCGGTAATCTATATCTATTAGAAAAGTGACAACGCCTACGTGTCAACGCCACAATTAATCTCTAATTTTTAACTTTTAAATTATCAATTAATTAAATATAATTAATTTGTTTTTTAATAAGGAAAAGAAGTTACTATTTTTTAGAAGATAAGTTAAGAGTTTAAATTAATAAAAAATGTTTTTTTTTTTTTAAAACATGTTAGGTTTAATGGGTTTCACAAACACATCTTTTGCTATATTTTCAGCGCTAATATTCAAAAGGGCATATTTTCCTCCATTGATAAATTTTCAGCGCTAATATTCAAAAGGGCATATTTTCACTATTGATAATCAGCTCATACAAACAAAGCATACAACAATATTTAACTAGTACCACCCTTGATCTGAAAACTTAAAAAATCAATTAGTTTCTTGTCAAAAAACATCTTTTGGTAAAACCAAAGTAAAATATTTTGAGGGTAAAGATAAACAAAAGGTATATTCCAATATTTTCATGCTCCTTCAGTTTTCAACTCCGCACATGCAAAATGTTTTTAATAACATAATATTCGACTTCTCTTTTGGTCAAGTTTGTCAAAGAAACATAAATATAGTACTCCCTTCACTTCAGTTTATTTGATTTTGATTTGATACCAAAATTATAAAAAGTAAATAGCAAGACTTTTTGAATGTTACGATGTTAAGTTTAAACAAAATATAGAATGTATCAAAATATTCTTTAATTTTGTGGTCGGATAAAAATTTAAAACTAAAAGAGTTCTCAAAAAATAATTCTATTTTAAACCAACTAAAAAAAAATAAAGCAAACATATTAAAATAAAGTGAGTATATAGACGAGAGACAGTTGCTCGGATGGTAAGCACCCCTCACTTCTAATTCGAAAGTTGCAAGTTCGAGTCACCAACGGAGCAAAAAGGGTGGGAGCTCCTAGGGAGGGTTAAGAAAAAAAAGTGAGTATATAATATGCATTATTTAGTAGAGATAATAACTCAAAACTAATTTAAGTTTTATTAAGAGATTTTTTGTTCAAGATTTATCAAATCACCTAAAATAATATCCACAAGTAAATATTAATAAGACTGAGATTTGTAATTTTAAAATTTCACAATTAAACTCATTGATCATGATCGTTACACTAATAACTAAAGGTATATATATATAACTTCAACCCTTTTTGCTTCTTTTGTGACTCGAACTCACAATCTTTAAATTGAAAGTGAGAGTGTTTATCATCCGAGCAACTCTCTCATCAGTGTGTATATACATAAAACTTAAATATTGAGTTGAGATTAAGAAAAAATTGCCTGTTGTTGAAGGGAAAAGATGTGACCAACACAGCCATAGACAGGGTCTCTTAACTCTAGCAAGTGCCTCATAACAAAGTGTAACAACAGTTTCAAGACGTTTATTTGGTGGAATAGTAAGCAATAGTTATGATGCATTACTAGCACCAAACACCTTATGGACAGCAGCAAAATGAGCCATGCCTTGTTCTGAGTCAAAATAAGGTGCAAATATGCAACCTTTCACACATTTTCTTCTAAGAAACTTGCATGCACCACAAGGCCCAGTACCACTACCATTGCTCATATTTTGTTATTAATTAGTGTGAGTGTTTCAAATTTTAATTGTGGGGTATGTGGAATGATGAAGAAGAAGAGTTAAAAGATATTTATTTATAATTGTATAAAAAGGTAGGTAGGAC